CGTATTGAAAGAGTAAGTAGCTTGTGGCCTGGATCATCTTTATTGTTTGAATCTGAGAGCCGATTTTTTCCCCTCTTTACTCTCTTTTGGATTTTTTTTTAAATTAAAGATTTTAAATACGATAGTAGAAGCATATACAAATTAAACCCATAAAAGAAAAAAAGGTAGAAAAAAATCAAAAGTACAAAGAAAGAAAAATAAATAAATAAATAAAAATGGAATAAATATAATAAATCCACAGTTTTGTATTTCCAGTTTGAATGCCTTGTCTATTTTGTAATTCACACTTTTTAATATTTCCGATTCCATTAAGCAAAATTTGTTTCAGAGCTGTCATTCCTTCAGTCATATCATTTATCTATCAGTCTTTCAATCACATAGAAGCATTGTTACTGATAAAGTTGATATGGTGGCTACTGATTTTTGGCCCCATTCTTCAAAGATAACTTTTAATATTTTAAACGTTGTATTATTTTGTGCCGTTTTGTAAATTCCAATCTATAAGGACAGGACTTTTTTTTGTCTTCTGCCTGAACTTTAGTCCTCTCAAGTGTCCAATTTAAATCATAAGGTCTCATAACTCTGTTATGAGTTGCTGTAGTCAAAACAATTTCTATGGTGAATTCCAAAATCTTATAGTAGAAGTTTCAATATTCCAAATTTGAAATAGCCTTAATTTTTTTGATAACTTTATTAGTTGTTTAGCTTTTTGTTGTTTATTCCAAGTTCTTTAAATTCTTAAACATATAGCTAATTTTTGTTTTGTTTGGGAATAAAGGTAGCAGGTCACTTTTTAGATCTGTCATTCCAAAGGCTTCTAATAGCTTTAAGATATTTAATTAAGCAATTAAAACGAGGTTAGCGAACTTGGTATCCTTAAATACCACAGTTGTGAGCCTGATGATTAATCCCGTTGTCTTCTGCCACTCAGACCAACTGGAGATTGCTACCTTGCAGTCTCCTTGCAAGGGTTTAATCTCCATGTTGATGATTTCCTAGGTGAAACTTGGCTCAAGAGGGATCTTGGAGTCCTAGTGGACAATTATTTAAATATGATCCAGAAATGTGATGCAACTGCCAAAAAAGCCCACACAATCCTAGGCTGTATTAACAGAGGGATAGAATCAAGATCTCGAGATAATGCCTTGGTGAGACCAGACTTGGAATACTGCATCCAATTTTGGTCACCACAATATAAACAAGATGTTGAGTGTGGAAAGAGTGCAGGCAAAAATGACTGGGGAGCTAAAACATATGAAGAACATTTGTAGGAATTGGATATGTCTAGTCTAGTGAAAAGAAGAACTAGGGGTGACATGATAGCAGTGTTCCAATATCTCAGGGGCTGCCACAAAGGAGAGAGGGGTCAACATATTTTCCAAAGCGCCTGAAGGCAGGACAAGAAGCAATGGATGGAAACTGAACAAAGAGAGAAGCAACCTAGAACCAAGGAGAAAGTTTCTGATAGTAAGAACAATCAACCAGTGGAACAACCTGCCTTCAGAAATTGTGGGTGCTCCAACACTGGAGGCTTTTAAGAAAGGACTGGACAACCATTTGTTGAAAATGGTATGGAGTCTCCTGCTTGAGTAGGAGGTTGGATTAGAAGACTTCCAAGGTCCCTTCCAACTCTGTTATTCTGTTCCATTCTATTGCAATGGATTTTGCAAGGGGCTGCTCTCGAAACAACCCAGAAGCAAACAGCTGGTCCAAAATGCAGGCACGCAAGCAGTGGCATCACACCTAATCTCCTGACCTCCTAGAGCAGTGATGGCGAACCTTTTAGAGACTGAGTGCCCAAACTGCAACCCAAAACTCACTTATGCATCGCCGGGTGCTGGCTGGGTGTGGCCCATTGGCTGAGTGTGGCCTATTGGGTGGGCGTGGCTGCAGTGGTAACCACAGACTGGGTGGGACTAAAAAATTCAATCAATCAATTCCAACTTTGCAAGATCTTTTTTTTTCCGCAAGAAGTTGAAATTGACTGATTGATTGAACCTTTTTTTTTTTTTTTTGCACACGGCGGCGGAGGCCTAAAGCGAAGAGGTTTTATAAAACCCAGCTGAAGGCCTAGGACTGGGGCGACAGCGCGTGTGCTCACAGAGAGGGCTCTGAGTGCCGCTTCTGGCACCCGTGCCATAGGTTCGCCACCACTGTCCTAGAGCACTTTACAAAAGGCCAGCAGTATCTTTTAACAAGATATACTAGCTGATCACTCAATATTAGCCTTTAGTTGCAATCCTGTTGGTAAATCACAAAAAAATATTACTTGTATCTTGTTTTCATATTGTCTTGCTTCAGTTGTAAACAAAACTGAATAAAGCAATTGATAAAGGTAAAAAAAAATATTCTGGTCAGCATTTATTCTGGTCACTATTTTTTGCCCTGAATCATGATGTGAATTTCTGAAATAGTTACCCATGAATCACATTGTAATATTGACCAAATTTGACTGAATCTCATTAGAAACCAATGTACCAAAGGGGATTCTACAGTTTTCTTGGCCAACTACTTTGCTGAAGGCTAAAGTCTCTTCTATCTCCTTGGGGTTCTCCCAGCCTTTCTCAGCATGGGGTCTTTCTAGAGCAGTGGTTCTCAACCTGTGGGTCGGGACCCCATTTGGGGTCGAACGACCATTTCACGGGGGTCGCTAAACAACACAGTCTGCCATTTTTTTCCCCTTTTCCTTAGCTGTGCTACTCCCTTTTATTCTATTGGCTTTTGAAAGCCAATAGAATAGACTCTCTTGAATAGAGTCTAATTCTATTGGCTTTCAAAAGCCAATAGGAATTGTCTAGGCTGTCTCTGCCCTGCTGAATCCGCCAAAAGTCCCATTCTGCAAACAGTGCTGCACCAGTTGAGTAGTCCTCGACTTACGACCAGTTGAGTAGTCCTCGACTTACGACCAGTTGGGGGTCACGGCATTAAAAAGGTTGAGAACCACTGTTCTAGAGGGACCAAGCCTCGGGTTGAGCTCTCACAGCTGGAAGAAATTTCTCATCCCTGCCCTGAACCAAAGGCAATCCTCTCCCACAAAATAGTCAGACTGCTGAACTTAAACACTCAGAGGCAGCCAGGAAGAAACTGTTTCTTACTTTGGCTTTTATCCCGAAGGTGCTTTTTTCACAAGGCAACTGAACTTTCTTGTTTTTCTTTGAAGACTTTCGCTTCTCATCCAAGAAGCTTCTTCAGCTCTGACTGAAGAATGGAATGGAAGGATTTATACTCCTTGCAGACATTGGTCATTTGCATTCTTTTAATGAGTCGTTGATGCTTCTGGAGGTTTATCTGTGTCGTCTGAGTGGTGCAAATGGGTGTGGAGCCTTCTTGGAACTGTTGAAAGGACTGTGTTGTTGACTGGAGATAAATGATGTCGCTTCCCTCCTGTTGAGGGAGGGTTACTCAGTTTTAACATAGATGGCCTCTCTGACCCCTATTTCAAGCCAGCAGTACTTTCTGTCCAAAATGTGGATTTTTGCTCTCTTCAAAAGAGTGGCCTTTGTCTTTTAAATGCAGATGGACTGCTGAATCTTGTCCTGGTGAGTTTGTTGTCTATGTTGTGCCATGCGTTTATGAAGTGGTTGTTTGTTTCCCCAATATACAGATCTGTGCATGGCTCGCTGCACTGTACTGCATATACCCATGTATCTGGGTGTTTTATCCTTCGGGTGGACAAGCTTCTGCCTTAGTGTATTCTTGAGTTTGAAGTGTGCCTGTATGTTGTGTTGGCTGAAGATCCTCCTGAGCTTTTCCGATATTCCTGCAACTTACAGAATGACTACATTGCTTCATTTATTGTTTTCTTCTTAGTCTGTTATGGAGGAGCTCCTGCTGATGGATGATTCTGGAGTATAGAAAGAATTAGAGTTTGGCCTGATGTTTTCTCCCAGTTTTTAATCTCAGCAATTTACTCCCCTAATGATTGGTAGGAATATTCACAGTCCTTTGGCCAGGAAGCTTTTCACTGCCATTCTTTCTGCTTATTGATTTTTCTCTTCCCCACCCTCATCTCTCCGCTTCTTGTTCTTCACTTTCCCCTGGGAATTAACCAAAGCCTATCAGGGCTTGCTAATAAATCCAATTAAAAATGAAAACAGTGCCCATTCACTTCAATTACTAATCCAACTAATCAATAGAGAAGACAAGAATGCAAAAAAAAAAAAAAAGTTTGAAGTATCCTTTTGCTTATCATAGGAAAAAACCTATGGCTGACTTACAACCACTTGTTTAGTGATCATTAGTAAAAAAAAAAGTGACTTATGATCATTTTTCACATTTACGACCATTGCAGCATCCCCATGGTCATGTGATCAAAATTCAGGCACTTGGCACCTGGCTCACATTTATGATGGTTGCAGTGTCCTGGGATCATGTGATCCCCTTTTACAAACTTCTGACAAGCAAAGTCAATGGGGAAACCAGATTCACCTAACAACTGTGTTGCTAACTTAACAACTGCAGTGATTCACTTAACAGTTGTGGCAAGAAAGGACATAACATGGGGCAAAATTCATTTAACAACTGTCGTGCTTGGCAATAGAAATTTTGGGCTCAATTTTTATGTCAAGGACTACCTGAATCTAATTTTAAATGGAAAACAAAAAAATACCGCAAGTGTAATGGCATGGTATAAATTATTCAAAAGCGGGTTTTTGTCATAATTGATTCATCAGTTGATTCATTAGGAAGTCCAAGTTATAATAAACACAAACCCCAATTAGGGATTACGCTAAATACTTCCCTATCACTAATAGGGTCTCCTCTAACCAACCCAGTGGTTACAATTGATTGCATAGTGCCGGGATAGGCAACCTTGGTTCTTTTATGACTCGTGGACTTCAACTCCCAGAATTCCTGAGCCAGCTATGCTGAGGGAAAAGGGAGAGGTTTCCAAGCTGAGCCATGCTGGCTCAGGAATTCTGGGAGTTGAAGTCCACAAGTCATAAAAGAGCCAAGGTTGCCTACCCCTGGCATAGTGCAACCTGCAACTTTTTGCAGTAAATAAAGCAATATTTTCAATTCCAGAAAGTTTATTCTCTTGTATAAGGTACTTCTCCTATTATATGTTACAACAACATCCTAAGGATCAATAGAGAAATGAAACTACCAGCTCTCCCTCCCTTCTCTCTTAAAGAGTTCTTAAAGCAGGTTTACTTGCCTCAGGTCTTCTTTTGAAAATTGTGCGATCTGCATGGCCACCACCAGGTGTCGCTACGGTGCAGGGCATCATCTCACACTTTAAGATTGTTCTGCTTTTAAGACATTTGAACTTTTCTGTAGAGTCTCATATTTATTTATATATTATATATTTACAAGCATTTTCATAGGTGAGAAGTTCGAGTATTTCTCCTCCTCAAGGCAAAAGAATCATGACTGTGCATCTGCAGCTCCATTTCTGTCACTAAATGCAACCTTCCTTTTGGGTTTACTAGTCTACAGTGGAAGATTCCAGAACAACACTCTGGCCTGGGTGCAGTTCCCTCCTGTTTGTATGCAACATTAGGAAGAAGGTCATTGACCCAAGAGTTACTGTAGACTGGAATTCCTTCTTTCCTTTCAAGAAAGCCTTTCACTAAAAGTCAGGGGAGCGTTAAAGAACCTGGCAGGACTTGTGCAGCTTGCTTTTATCTCTTCTGTGAATGAACAGAGGGCTTAGGTTTCCCTTGCTATCGATCCAGCACCTTTTCCATGATCAAACACTGGTATTGTATCCTGCCCTAGGAAAGTCTCTCTAGAAATCTTTTTTAAGAAGGTTACAGTTCTCTCTCTCTCTCTCTCTCTCTCTCTCTCTCTCTCTCTCCTTCCCATCTTACCTTCCCTATCTAAGCAAACAGTGATAAATATATCTACAGGCAATCCTTGACTTACAACCACAATAAATAGAGCCTGCCCATTATGGTCGTAAGTTGTGATGGACCCATTTTTATGATCTTTTTTGTGGTGGTCGTTAAGTGAACATTGTGGTTGTGCATTGTGAACTGCTGCAGTCATAAAGCAACTGCCACAGTTCTTTGTATTCTCCTCCTCCCCATCTTTAAACAATTTTTTTTGTTTTATTATTTAAATGTGTAATAGATTTAAACGTTTGTAAATCATCCAGACTGGGCTGGACTAGAAGACCTTCAAGGTCCCTTCCAGTTCTATTCTATTCTATTCTATTCTATTCTATTCTATTCTATTCTATTCTATTCTATTCTATTCTATTCTATTCTCTGACAAGATGGGCAGCACAAAAATTTAATAAACAAACAGATAGATAGCTGATTTTACCTGTTGTTCCTTAGTAAAGTATATGGTAAAATAAACAAAGCTTCTGGATAGCGACCTCCTTATGCAGTAAGACCAGATAAATACATACAGTTTGCTACTTATGATGATATAGGTCTGAACAGGAGCGCCTACCCATGTTCTGTCAGGTTAACGTTCCCGGACCAGGAGAGAGAGAGAGAGAGAAAATCAGAGGGAGGGAGGGAGGGAGGGAGGGAGGGAGAGAGAGAGAGAGAGAGAGAGAGAGAGAATCAAAGAGAGACTTGGCATCCTCTAAATCCATTAAGCACCTAGAAGAGATATTTGATTGGCCACTGTGAGAAATAAAGGTTGGACAAAGAAGGTCTTAGTCTGATTACCCAAAACAATTTCTATTTTTTATGTTCTAGTGGCTGGCTCCTAAACCAAATTATTACTATTATGTTATCTGCCTGCCTTTTTCACTGCTATTAATGAAGGATGCATTTGTGACAGAGTACTGTTTTTCCCAGTTTAAGCAAGCTAAATAGAGGCAGGGTATCCCAATGTGATTATTTTCTCCCTTTGCACTAAACATATGCTGCCATCTACACTTTTTCTCCTTAAAAAAAATTAAGCTCGCAATGTAAATATTTGCGTTACTTAGCTTTCTTAAAAAGGATTGGCCACAACTTTATTTTCAAAACTGGCAGAAAGCAGAACGCGTATCCAACTATTTTGCAAGCTAGCTTATCAGATTGGCAAAGAACATGCTAAGTATTATTAAAATGCCATACATTTTTTTCTCTCTTAAAATCAGACAATCCCTGGTATTAACCTGCAGAGCAGAAGTCTTTCTAAAGGTGCCCCTTGTCTGCGAGGTTGATTTATCTGGCCCCCAAGAGAAGTTTTCCTACCTTGTTATATCGTTGTCTTGTAAGTGTAGCTGGAGGGAGGACTTGGTGATATTAAAAACATTTGTAAAACTGTTCCTCTTTCTCTAGGCTTGACTTAATCCAGTCTCTTTTAATTTTACTCCACGTGTTCAGAAATTCAGATTGTTTTGTTTTAATTTGCTTAGCTACACTGAGGGGTTTCTTAAGTAGACAGACAAGGGAGAAGTCCAATCAATTAATGTCAAAGCAAGCGACCAGTCAACAGTCCCTTGATTTGGATCAATTCATGTTCCAGGGAATGAGTCTAACTATATTGCTATCTCAGTTCAACCTAGCCTTCTCTTGAGCTAGTCTAATTTGCAGAGGATAAAAACACAGGAAGCATGTCAAGCAGTGTGATTTGGCCTATTAATTCCTTTCTTCTGCTGCTTGTGGATTTTGGATTGCAGCCTCTAGAATTCCCAGTCAGCAAAGACTACAGATCACTAGAATTCAGTTGTTTAACAATCATGCTGGCTGGGGATGTTGACAGTCATAGTCAAACAATCTGATGAACACAAGATATCAAAAATTGGTACATACAGTATCTATTTGCTGTCTTCCTTCTGGTAGATTGTTCTTCAGTCAGGGACGCACATCTTTCCAGGCTTGGTGGTGATCTGTAATTAGGAATAATAAGTAAGTGGCTTTCTCAAGAAACTTGTATTGTTGTAAAGCACTGCTGGTTTATATTCCATGGAATTTTCCATTGGTCTGGTCATTCAAGGAAACATGGGGAATGCTTTAGGAACCCTGGATGGAATCCTTCTATTCTTTCATTAAGGTCATGTGTGGATGAGTAGAAGGAAGCTCATTAAAAATATTTACAAGCAACCACTTAAGTCCTAAACCAGAAGTAAAGTTTATTAAGGAGCTTACATGCTCCAGTAGACTGTATGCATTTCTAAACTTTCTGTCTTCATGATACAGAAAGCATGAAATACACTGTCATTTCCAAAAGAAACAGAAGAAAGAGTCTAAACTTATTGGTATTAGCCTTGGGATTAGGAGAAAGCAGAATTGAGGCAGAAAGAAAAACAGAGTTCCTTGCTTGCCATCTCTTTTCATGTTCTTAATAGTCAATAGGATAAAAAAAAAATACAGAGTGTGTTCTTCATGGAACTGTATCTCCACGTGGAAGGAGTTGGGTGGAACAAATACTTACAAACTGGAAATAGTTATGTATATAATATAAAGGCAAAAGTAAAAGTTTCCCCTTCTGGCTGTGTCCAACACTAGGGGGCAGTGCTTCTCCGTTTCTTAACTGAGGTAGCCAGCTTTGTCTGAAGACATTTTCCATGGTCACGTAGCCAACATGACTATATGCTGTTACCTTCCCACCGAAGTGGTACCTATTTATCTACTCATATTTGCATGATTTCTAACTGCTAGGTGGGCAGGAGCTGGCCGAGAATGGGAACTCACTCTGTTGTGCAGGTCTCAGGTCTTGAACCTGGACTGTCAGCGACAAGCTCAGCATCTTTAACTGCTGAGCCATCATACCCCCTTTGTATATAAGGTAGGAATGGGATATGTAATAGGTTGCTAAGCCTATCTCATCTGAAAGCCATTGAAGCCCTAAGTCCAGCATCACTGATTCTTCAGCATCTCATAACTGCAGATCTTGAGGAGGTAGCTACTGACATCCACAGAAGAAGGGGGCAAAACCTGCCATATAGTATGCATCCCAGCACAATTATATCCTCCCTCTTTTCTGCATGGACACAGGTGCAAACGGGACACTTCTTATATCATGATATTGTGCCCACTCACTTGCAGATTTTGAAGCCATATTGAGGGGCAGAGGGATGGAGCTGGAGAGTTAAGGATTTCCTTCATGTTCATTTGTCCATCACTTTGCCTGCTTTTTTGATTAAAAGATTGCTAATCTGAATTTGCTTCCTTCTGCCTTTCTTTCTACCCACACATGTTCTCAGTAGGTTGTAACTAGTTAAGTGCAAGCTTTGCCTGTCTCTATCATGAATTTCCTGTAAATAAATCTTTTTTTTCCACCTCCAACTATCAGTTATTTCCCTGAACATAGCCGTCAATTTCACAAATTAGCTCTGGGCCTGTTTGATCAGAAGATGTTGGTGACTTCTGTGGGCTTAAATTAACTTTTCTCTGCTTCTGTGTCAGTTTATTTGAAAGCAGAGCAAAGCTAGGCTTTTTTTTTTTTTTTTGAGCTTCTGGGGAGTTCATCCTCCTACTGGTGGATGTTCCTGTCTCTCTCTGCCTCCTGGCTGCTGGGTTCCAGTGAGCCATTCTTTTCCAAGCAGTTGCTTAAAAAGTCCTCAAGGAGTTTGATACTTCCCATTCCAGCTGGTTCTCTGCCAAACCAAAAGGAGAAACAGCCAGGAACTCTTGTCAATTTCATCCCTGTCTGCTTTGCCTGGGCTCTTGTGGGAAGACTTGGAAGGATCCGGGAAGAACCTGGATCAAACCCAGATGTATTTTAAAGAGGAATTATTCCTGGGGCCTGTTTGCACAGTTTAGGATCTATTTCCTGCTCTTCCCCCACTCCATCTGTTACAGCAGAATGCACCCACAGAGATACTGTGTTGGAAAAAAAAAAAAGCAACTGATTGCAAACTTGCCAATATAGAGTCACATCTTCAGATGCTTTTATAGGCAAAATAGTGATGTGCCCAAGTGGTTTGGACATTTCCTTTCTTGACAAATCATTCCTCTTCTAGTTTGCCATGAGAGCAATATATAGTACGAATGTGGCTGTAATCAGTCTTATTTCTTTTGTTCTGTGTAGAGTGGAAGAGAACAGATTTCTTTTGATTTAGAACTCCAACACAGAGTCTAAGGCACTGAACGAACCAGAATTGTTGTGCTCATCGCTTGTTCAATAAGAAAAAAAATGACTGGGTTTTGATGATCTCAATAGGAGGATTAATACCTAAATTAGACCATTGTATGTTGTCTATAGGAGCCACAGGATGAGGCAGTTTCATGAATGCTACTGCAGCTCACACAGAGGATTTGGAAACTCACATTTTTTATCTCCAGGCTGCTATGATAATATCTCAATCTGCATTCACACAAACTTTTTGAGAGGTATCTGCATATCCAGATGGTGGGCCAATTATATCCAGAACTATGGGTGCCACATGAAGAAGGTGTGAAATGAACCACTTCTTTAAGGACTCATTCAGCCTCCCAATCTGGTGCCATTCAAATGTGTTGGATTGCTATTCTATTCACAACCAGCCAGAATTTCCCAACATTCCCCCTTGAAATGTTAGTAAACAGCAGTTGCTTGCTAAATAGGTAGTTCAGATCACTGCTGTGATGATGTTACCTATGGCAATAATGCAATGAAACTGTTTTTCTTTCCCAGAATAGGAAATTATATGTACAGCTGGACAGAATAACAGAATAATAGAACAGAATAACAGAGTTGGAAGGGACCTTGGAGGACTTCTAGTCTAACCCCCTGCTCAGGCAGGAAACCCTATACCAGTGATGGCGAAACTTTTAGAGACCAAGTGCCAAAAAACTGCCCCCTGCCCCTGCTTCCCCTCCTGTCCTGCCTGCTCTGCCCCTGCCCGCCCCCTGCCCCACCCATCTGCCCACCCACAGGACCATGCACCGCCTCCATGCCCGCCGCAGCAGATTGCCCAGGCAGCCCTGCAGCACCATGGCAGCCATGCCCTCCACCCATACCCCGCAGCATCATCTGCACGCTATGGGGCACAAGGGCAGAGTCTTGTCCCTGCTGCCTGGTTATGTCCTTGGCTGCGCTGCTCTGTGCAGTCCGCGCCCGGGGGTGACTCTCCTCCAGGGGGGCTGGTGGTGAGGAGGGGGCTGCGGGAGGAAACAGGGCTGGGGCGACGGTGCACGTGCCCATAGAGAGGGCTCCGAGTGCCGCCTCTAGCACGCGTGCCATAGGTTTGCCACCACTGCCCTATACCATTTCAGACAAATGGTTGTTCAATCTCTTCCTAAAAACCTCCAGAGTTGGACTGTCCCCAACTTCTGGAAACAAGCCAGAAATTGATTAATTGTTCTAATTGTTAGGAAAATTCTGCTAACTAATCTCTTCTTGATTAGTTTCCATCAATGGTGAAAAAAGTGAGATTATACATTTACGCAAGAAAAAACAAAAGGTATAGCATAGGTGGTATCTGGCTCAATAGTAGTAACTGTGAGAGGGATCTTGGAGTCCTAGTGGACAATCACTTACTGTAAATATGAGCCAGGAGTGTGCTGCAGTTGCCAGAAAAGCCAATACAATGCTAGGCTGCATTAACAGAAGGATAGAATCAAGATCATGTGACGGGTTAATACCACTTTATAATGCCTTGGTAAGACCACACTTGGAATATTGCATCCAGTTTTGGTCTCCATAGTATAAAAAAGATGTTGACACTCTAGAAAGAGAAGAGTTACAAAGATGGTTAGGGGACTGGAAACTAAAACATATGAAGAAAGGTTGCAGGAATTGGGTATGTCTAGTTTAATGAAAAGGACTAGAGGTGACATGATAGCAGTTAGAACAATTAATCAGTGGAATGACTTGCCTCTAGGAATTGTGGATGCTTCAACACTGGAGGTTTTAAAGAAGAGATTGGATAACCATTTGTCTGAAATGATATAGGGTTTCCTGCCTGAGTAGCGGGTTGGACTAGAAGACCTCCAAGGTCCCTTCCAGCTCTGTTATTCTGTTATTCCATTGCTTCTTGTTCTGCCTTCAGGTACTTTGGAGAATTCCTCTTCTTTGTGGCAGCCTCTTAGATATTGGAACACTTACACAACTTTTCTTAGCAGGGCATCAACAACACAAAAACGTCTTTGTACTAAAAAAATGTTGCTGGAATACAGAATTGAATTCCTTTGGAGAAAGGTGCTTTTAGCCTTTCCTCCTGCATCTAGTGAAATTTATATGCTTTAACTGCCTCTGTGAGGATATCTGCATAATTTGAATAAGTTGAATGCCTTTGTCTCCTTTTAATATATTTATTTATTGCAAGTGCTTCTACGCCACCTCAATTCCATTGTAAGCAGCTTACGATGTAATCCATTAGAGTAAATGAAAATGCATTGATGTTATATAATAGGAATAACAATAGTTATAAATGCTAACAACTAACAGTAAATACTAAAAACCTAAAGGCAACATTATTCTTTATTTACTTCTTTTTCCCAATCTATATGGTTGCCCATCTCAACAGATGACTGGCAGCGATCAGAATTAAAGAACTGCAAACATTTCAAAGATTAAAATACAAAGCAGTCAAGGAACATCAAACCCAGATCACAAATACAACAAAGAGGCAGGCTCCCGAACACACTCACGGCCTAGGCCTGGGCACAGAATCAGGTCATTGCAAGGCCATCATCCAATCCTCATAAAACCTAAGTCACCCAGATTCATCTTAGTTCATGTACATGTCTTATCCTATTCCCACTCCCCAAATGCACTTTAAAATGCCACATTTTCAAATTCAGTTTGCTGAACTTGAGAAGTGAAACTATTGATTCTTCTACTCAGACGTTCTATAACAAGGGAGCTTTTGCAGAGAAGGCTTCTGAGTCTTGCCTTGTCTTACATTGAGAGAGGCAGAGAGTCTCAGCAGACTCTCAAATCTTGGGGGAAGCGAAAGCAATC